AAAAAAAAGAGAGAAAGAAAAGAAAAGCCCTGCATTCACGGGTGAGGCTGGGATCACAGGGTGGGGTTGCAGGGCAGTGACAGTGCTAGGGCCAGGTGAGAGCCGTGATCTACTCTCTGCACGCCCTTGTGACAGGTGTGGGTTCTGTGGGCATGGGTGTGCAAGGAGTGGATCGCAGCTCTGCCCTGGGCCTAGCCCTGCACTGTCACTGCTGCAAGCCCTGTGGAGGAGGCAAAGGAGGGGAGTCAGGGGTAGGGGTATGGCCATGTGTCACTGCTGATAGCCATACCCCATGTGGGGACAGGGAAATTTAGGCTCCCTCCTACTGACCCCAGGGCGTGTAGCCCACAGGCAGGGAAGGGAGGGAGATGGTCCCAGCAGCAGCTCCATTCCCTGCCATGCACTTGGAAACAGTGGCCAGGGCTGAGGGATTTGGGCAGCATTGGGGAATCCCCATCCCTTGCCAGTCTGCAGCTCATCCCTGGATGCCTGTGCAGCTCCTAGATGCAGCACCTTTACTGGGGCTCCCACCACTGCTGCTGCCTCCTTGCCACTGTTCTGCACTGTTATTAAGCCCCATGTTGAGCCGGTGGGACTGGGGTCTGCCACCACCGCACAGGCATCCCAGAGTGAGCTGGGGACGGGGGTGCCCCAATGCCACTTGGGCCAAGGGACCCATTGTAGACTGGACAAAATTGCTTCACAGGTTGTATTTTGCCCACCCCTGTTCTATCCTGTGATGCACTGACTACAGTGCCTGAAATTTTATATTCTTATATTGTGTTTTAGGGAGATAACTCACTCATGTTCCAGTCTCTGTTAAATGCACAAGTTAAAGACAAGATAAAAAAAATGTAGCTTTTTGGCAACTCTAGAGCTCCCGCTTCTATTTTGTCTTTATTTGCCAGGGGGGAGGCCAGTAAAATCAGTGTAGGACAGGAAAACAAATAACTGAAGAAGTTTCACTCACTTCAGGAATTTATTACCCCTTGATCCAAATACCAGTCACATAGTGTACCAGAAGCATTGTGATTCTTACCTGCATGCTGGCTTTGGTTCATCAAAATAAGTATCCTCCCCCCCCACCCCCCCAGTAGAAATTTTTCTCAAATCTCCAAGTGAACTTGAAGATAGTTTTGAAGTGTTTGTCAAGTATGTATTAACCTCATCGAATTCTTTCTAATCATGGACAGTCTTGATCTTTCAGGAAAAGCAGAATATTGCTTTCCGAGAATGTGGTTTTAAACTATACCTTAATGAAAGCTCTCTCAGCATAATTGGTCATGAAGGTCACAGTGAATTTCATCAGCTTTTCCTCCCTTGTCATGCTTCCAATAGAGTTGAAAGACATCTTGATTCCAGGCTTGAATGGGAAACTGCTAATCCCAGTCTCTCCTGCACTAGTTCTAAACAAAAAAGACACTCTTGGACAGGTTGTCTTATGAGTGATTGAGAAAAAGTCAAAGAAAAAATCATGTGATTCAGCAAGATCACCCTGTACCCATGAGAACTGGATACCTTGGGTTTTATAAGCCAGGGTTATAAGTGAGGAACAGCACATGAGATGCGCATCTCATAGACATAGATTTCATAGACATTACGGCTGGAAGGGACCTCGGAAGATCATCGAGTCCAGACCCCTGCCCAAAGGGCAGGAAGTCAGCTGGGGTCATAGGATCCCAGCAAGATAAGCATCCAGTTTGCTCTTGAGCGAGATAAGCATCCAGTTTGCTCTTGAATCAGAAGTCAATAAATAAAATGTAGCATCTAAATTAAATTCCTGGCACTTTAACTACTGGAGTTGCACCGATATATCGGCCCATATCATATTGACGCTGGTAAAAGGGAAATTAATATTAACAGTAATTGGCTTTCTTTTGGCTGATGTGGCTGGTAATGTTGCTGATAAATGCCACGAGCATGTGTGCAGTTGCAGCATGCTTACAACCAGGAGTTGTTGGGGTGGGTAGCAGCAGTGCTGGGGCGGGGGGCTATAGCCACCCCAAAATTCGCTCTAGTCTCCCTCCCAGTGCTGCCACTGCCTACCCTGAGCGCAGCTCCAGTCCAGCATCCCCTGTTGGGAAGAGCCCAGCACCATCCCCGGCCCTAAGTGGGCTGTGGCAACCCGCCCTCACCCCACACATAAATCCAAGGGACAGGTGCCCCCTATACCTCCCCTGGGGGTGCTCACAATGACAGGAGCCACCCCTTGGATGAGCCGCTTGTGGCTCCATCCTGCACCTTGCTCCTGCTTTTGCTCGAGCTCCACTCCCTGCCTCAGCATGGGAGCCACGATCTTCCTTCCCCATATCTCCCCCCCCCCCACATATTTATTAGCCAGATGCTGCTTTCCAAGTTGCCAGGCTGCATATTGACAATTGGACTGGTATTGACTGATATGGCTCATTAATTATTGGCCATTGGTATTGGCATGAAAAATCTTTATTGGTGTACCCCTATTAATTTAATTACCTACCTATATTTAAAAGGTAGGTAGTTATTTGTCACTTCTAAAGAAATAAAAGCTCTGTGGCATACTTCTGATAAACTTACTCTACATGGTGATCTACAGGGATCTTAGCTTTCCCTGATTAAAAAAATTGCAAATTCTCTGCTAAAATATCACAGATTCTCTGATAACCCCCCCCCTTCCCCCAAATCAGTGATTAAAATTAAAGGCCCCCCACAACCCCTCCCTAGCCCTGCTCATGCCTCTCACTCACAGCTCCCACATCCTCTCCCAGCCCTGCCAGACAGGGCCTCCAGCTGCCAGGGCTATGGACCCGGGTCTTCAGCCCCCTGCCCCTGCTCTCCCCTGCTGTGGGCTTGAGTGGGGGAGGGAGATGCCTACTTCCATGCCACCGTGTGCACTCCTGAGGGGCAGCGGGGACCTGCTGCCCCCAGACTTGTGCACGAGGTAAGCGCAGTCTGTGGGCTAAAGCTGTCACCCTGCTTCCTGCCCCAGGACCTCCACAGCCCTGTGGGCGCATCCTGGCACAGCACAAAGACAGTGGGGCAGCGTGGGGATCTCTTCGCTGCTGCAAGCTGCCCAACTGCCCTGGCGAGACACCTCTTGCTCATGCCACTGCTTTGAGGGGCACAGCCCCACACATAGGAGGTGCATTGCCAGGGCAGCGCAGGGTGAGCAGTGGCGCAGAGGTTCTCTGCACAGCTCCTCTGCTCCCTGCCATGCTGGGTGGCACCCACCGGGCTGTGGAGGCTGCGGGGGAGGGAAACGGCAGCAGGGAGCAGTAGGCTTGCTGCCACTGCCAGCTCTGCCCTGCTTCCCTCCCCCGCGGCCTCCACAGCCCAGCAGGTGCAACCTAGCATGGCAAGGAGCAGAGGAGCTGGCATCGACAACCTCCTCACCGCTGCTCACCCCTCGCTGCCCTGGCAACACACTTCCTGTGCATGAGGGCTGTGGCACAGGGATGCACCCCTCAAAGCAGTGGAATGAGCAAGGGGTGTCACCAGGGCAGCAGGCGGGGAGCTTGCAGTGGCAAAGACATCCCCACGCGGCCCCGTTGTCCCCAGCTGTGCTGGGTCATGCCCGCAGGGCTGTGGAGGCCCCAGGGGCAGGAAGCAGGGCGGGATCTCAAGCCTCCAGCCTGCGCCTGCCTCACACAAATCTGGGGGTCACAGGTCTCCCCTACCCCCCTGGGAGTGTGCAAGAGCTGCCCCTCCCCTGGATGAGCCATTCACAGCCCCATTCTGCTTCCCTCTGGGGCCTTGCACCCCATGCATTGTGGCCCCAAGCCCCACCCGCTTAGGCAGCAGCACCAGCCCTGCCCAGCTCCTTCCCTACAGGGGCCTCAATCCCCCTCTTCTCGCCCCCTGCCCCTCACTTACCCACTGGAGCTGCTCTGTAGGCTGCCTGGGGCCATGCGCATATATGTGCACGTGGCACCCACTTCTCACTGCCTTCCTCCCACTCCCTGCAGCCTGGAACTCTGCCAGCCTGCAGGGAGCTCACTGTAAAATGGTAAAATCCCCACGGGTTTCTCTTGTAAAATGAGAAATCCGCGTTTGCCTTTGGTAAAAAGGTAAAATCCGTGGTTATAGTTTCAGTCGACAAGTTGAAATAAAACACTTTAGTTTGAGAAAATCTAAACATTTTATTTCATTTTGACATTTCTAAATTGAAACTGCTTATGACTTTTTTTGGTTCTTTTAAGAATTGATGTTTTGACACTTGCCTTGACATGTGGCAGAATCAGGGTGAAATCAGGTATCAAAATGTTGACATTTCCTACATGATTACAATTCCGTTTTTAATCAGCTGCATTGTATGTTATAACTCTCTGATAATATCCTACCAGGTAACAGAGATTACACCATCATTGTGTTAAATGTTGTTTGAATTTCTTTCAGTTGGAAAACCTTTGACTAAAAATTTATGAAACATAATTTAATAATCAGGTTTTTGTAAAACTTATGTAGGTGCATCCAAAGATGGAGGAGCTGGAGCTGTTGATGAGGATGATTTTATTAAGGCATTTACAGATGTACCTACAGTACAGGTAAGACCTTGTCCTTAATGTTCCCTTATGTTCAGGAATAATGTTATAAGTGTTTAGTTTTGTTTCCAATAATGTCTGTTTACAAACTTCTTATTAAATATTTTAAACATTGTTTTTAGGAAATAGATAACTGAAAAATTTGCTGAGTATAAAAAAAACTGGTGCTGGCTATGCCTACCCCAGGCGCTGGATCGGGAACATCACCTGAATCTGACCCACTGCCAATCTAGCCTGCCAGGCAAAAAGTTGAGCACTACTGTTTTAAAGGATTCAATCTTAAATCGATGTATGTGATGAAAATCAGGCAATTTTACAGGACTAGAAAAGTAAATGAACCTAAGGTAGCAACACATGCCCTCTGTGCATGGCTTTATAAAGTATTCACTCAAGGCGTAAACTAGATGAACTGTTGAGTTCCCACTGTTCCCTAGCAACACATGGCATTCTCACATTATTCTGATTTTTCATGAAGTGGGAAATAAAACCTCTGCTCATCCAGACCACCCTACTAGGATCCAAATAGTTGCCTAACCTTGAACTGAAAAAGCCAGGTTGAAGACTGAATAAAATCATCTTTGCATTTTAATTATATCTCATATTCTGATTATCGGTAGAAAGACTAGAAGTAAAATGCAGAAGAAATCCCTTTCTCTTCAATTTTTTCTGTTTTTCTGAATCATACTTTTCCCTTGTACCTCCAAAATAGAAACAAAAAAATCTTCCTTTCCCTGGTCTAGCAAATTATTAAGCACTATATGGCCAGGCAGATGCACTGTATAGATTGATTTATGCATTGTCTTAAAAGCACTCCTTGTTAAAATTCAGACAGACCAATATATCTTGCTCACGAGTGACTGGAATATATAAATCTGCTAGCAGCTAGATGAATTTGGATGGCTGAACAGGTGATAAGTTAGAGTTAATTTTATAACCCGGTCTCTTGTGACTGACCATCTTAGTGATGTTGTAGCCATGAAATGCTTTTAAAGTTCAATTTCTTTTTTTCATATATTTGGATCTGTTTTCTCTAGAGAACTTTGAGTACACTCCAGTATCTACATAAAGCATTATATTCTTCTCTAGGAAAGCATCATTACAGAGCCAGCCTCTGTTACATAACCCTATTTTAGCTTTCTGGTAAATTAGTATTGGAAAATTTGTTTGACCTGAAAATTAACAGGGTTATTCTGAAGGCAAAGGAAATTCTCTTGCAGAGAGTCGCAAGAAAAGTTGTCTAATTGTTAGACTATTTTGTGGATAGGTTAGGGCCCAGTGCCATTTCATTCTGTGCTTGTGCGATATATTGTTCATTTCAGTGGACACAGTACAAGCAATATATCTTAGAAATATGGGACTGGAATGGACCTCAATGGGAAGTCTAGCTTCCTTTCTTTTCTCACTGCTCCAAGATGAGACTTAACTACAGCTAGGTTATATGTAATAGATGTTGTCTAGACTGGCCTGGGGGCCAAATGCATCCTGTGGAGCTTTGGCATCCAGCCCACGGGGCTGCTCCTGGGTTGGCAAGTTTGGCGGTGGAGGAGCAGTGACCATTAATATGACCACCATCTCTGCCCTGCCAAATACCCAAACCCCAAGCCCCACATGGCCCATCAGAGCCAAGCTGCTCCCCCACTTTACCCCCATGGGGCTGAGCCATGCCTGCTTCCTGCTTGGGGCTGGACCATATTCCCTTCTCTCCCTCTTCTCTCCCCAGTGGCCAAGCCATACCCACTACTCCTCCTTCTTCCCCAACCTGCACGGAGCTGTGTTAAGACCAGGCCATACCCTCTACCCCTGTGGGGCTAGCTTGGTGCAGGGTTGCCCCTTGTCCCATTCCATGTGGCTGAATGGTGCCTACCACACCTTCCCCAGGTGCTGGATGGGAACTACTGGCTGGATCCAGCCCACACTGCGGGGTACTGTCTATCCAGCCCATGGGGGGGGGAAATGGTTGAGCATCATTCGTCTAACCCATTCTTAGAAGCACCTAATGATGGGCCTTCCACAGCATTGTAACCTATTCCTGTTAAACTTCCCTATAGATAAGGTTTTTATAAAATTTTTCTTTCTGAAATATAAACCAATTACTACTTGTTCTGCTTAGGTATCTGAGAAATCGTTGATCATCATTCTATATATATGGAAGTGTCTGTCTGTCTGTCTGTTGGCAGCATGGGGTGCTGCCACAGGGGGATGGTGGGGCAAGCTTCCCCCTGCCCCCTTGCTCCTTGGAGGTGGCGGTGGCATAAGGGGTGAGGGGCAACGGGGTCAGACCCACTGTGTTAGGGAGGGGAGAGGGGCGGAACAGGGTCAGGCCCACCATACCAGGGGATGGGGGGGGAACTGGGTCTGGCCCATCATGGCGGAGGGGAGGGGGCTGGACGGGGGGAGAGGGGGCACAGGACCAGAAGCTGGGCTCCATTCCCGCTGCCTCCCTCGTCCTCCCCATGGCATTTTTGACGAACAGTTTGCTAGTCCTCTTCATAACAGCCATTTATATATTAGAAAACTATTCTGATGCCTTCCTTGTGTGTGATCTCTTTTCCCAGATAAAGCAAACCTAGTTCCTTCAACCATTTTTCATATTTTTTGTGTGTTACTCATTGCCCCATCATTTTTATTGTTTTCCTTTAGCTCCTCTGTCTCCAGTGTGAGATGTATCCTTTCTTAAAGTAATAATGTCCAGGCAGTTGTATTTAGCTGCTTTTATTTTTGCATTTTTTTTCTTTTTATTAAACCATTTTGTGCACATTAGAATGTTGCCCTCTACTGGTGGTTTCAATTTAGAAAGAACATATTGCTATTTATTTTATGCATCGGAGACCTTTCATTATTTCAGAACATTGATGCCTTCGTTTTTTTGGAACTTAAGGACAGCTGTTGCAGTGGTGTGCTGTCTTATTGTTCAGAGTGGAAGCAGTCTCTCCTTTTTCTAATAGGATCAGTTTTTTCACACACTGCCCTTGAATCCAAACAAAAAGAGAAAATCATTGTCTTTTTTCAAACTTTTTAGGATTAAGGCCTTCAAATGGCTAGATTTTTTTTCTGAGATCCTTTTCCAAATTTTCAGAAAGAAAGCAGAGAAAAATTTCATTGCATTTCAAAGTTAGTGTCAAGTCTTATGTTGGCTTGTATAAAAGTACATTTTCTGGAGCAAGAATAGTAACATTTTTAGGAAGTTAATTTATTTTAAAATCAGGGAATAATCTATTACCAAAGCTCATGGAAGTGAAAGAACTGAAAATATTTTCTGTAAAATATAAGCATGGCAGTTTCAGGATCTGGTTAAATTAAGTTTATTACATTCCCATTACACTGCCTATTTGACCTACAGTGCACAGGTCTATTATCCAGTGTATGGTGAGTAACTCGAGAACAAAGTTTGTAAATTGATAGTGAAGTCTGTAGCATAGCTGAGGATAGAATCCTGGTTTCTAAGATGGTAGACCCATGTGTTCACTGCTACACAACAGTGACTCTCGCATGTATCATATAAAATCTCTGTACTTGAAAGTAGATAGTAATATTTGCCCCTTTTTTGCAAGATGCTTTAATAAATACACATGTGCAAAGGACGATCTTATTAATCGCCTTTCACAGTTGGACCAACTAAAACATAGAGGTTTTCAGTGACTAAGGCCATATACAAACATTCCGTTTCTCCTGGGAAAAGCAGAGCGTACAGATGTTCAGGATTTTTCTCCCAGGAGAAACTGAAAAATCGCTGCTCCAGGGGAAAATTAATTGGGGGATGTGGCAGAATACCACCTCTCTCTCTCCCCAAAAACTCTGCTCTGTGACAATTTGGTTAACATGGGCCCTGCAGATGGCAGACATCCTATCTCTTTAGGTACCCTGAGTTGTATACATTCCTGAGGCAGGGGGGAAACCTGCTCCCTCTGCCTGTGTGACTGGCATTTCATACCTGGGTGAGGAGCTTGGGCTCCCTATTGTTTTAGAGACCCTGCCAGTCCGCCCAGCAAACCAGCATTTCAGATTGGTTGGCTGGTAGCCAACAGGTGCTGGCCTCCATTGGACCAGGTAAATGAGGTCATAAGGGCTATGTAAGTTAAGGACTGCCCAGGAGGAGGGGGAGTAGTCATGATGAAAACTCAGAAAGAAGAACTGGACCATCTGAAACTTGCTCTCTTTCTTGAAACTCATGATCAATTAACTGCCTGCCTCCAGAGGGAATCTCCACCTGCCTCTGGATGATACTTGTGAGTAAGCTACCTGAGATCTAACTAGATGTATAGCTTGCAGTAACTCAGATGCATGATCAAAGGCTACCCTACAGCCACCCTGTTTGCTCTGTGGGATTTCTCTGATACTGCTCAACCCTGTATCCTATTCCAAACTTACTCCTTGTAACCAATAAAGTTCTTTGTACCTAGCATGGGAGACTTATTGGGAGTGGGTGTAGTTTATGCCTTGGGGTCCCCTTGGTTTGGCTTTGGCCTTGGGAGACCACTGTTTGTGCTTCAGACTGAGGGAAGCACCCCAAGTTCTTGAAGTGGGTCAAGTACCCTCAAGGACTACGATGCCTGTGTTTCCCAGGGGACACAGTGCCAGGATCAGACCAGACCTTGGGTGGTGGCGGCACTACCCCCAGGCTAGCGGGTATGCTCCAGGAGGGAGGTCAGCTAGACGTGAGGTGCCCCATGGGAGGCACTCAGAGACTGGAAGGTGGTCGGGTGCAATGAGGTGGGTGGCTCAGCACAGGAGCATCCTCTATTGGCCCACCACAGGGGACAACCAGGGTTAAATCATTCCTGAGAGAGTTTCTCTGAAGAGAGTGAAGGTCTTGCACCTTCTCAGTTTGGAGACACTTTGTTTGAACAGAGTATGAAGATAAGTTGTGTTGTGCTTGTGTGGATAATGTAGCCATATAGTAAAATATACTACTTAGCAGGGCTCTGCTTGATGACTGCTTTGTAGGCATTGTGATACTATAAATAACACAAGACATGTTACTTATTAATAGGAGTGTTTTGACTAGAACCATTTCTTGAGTAGGCTTTCTAAAATTTCAGTATACACTACTATGTGCATAATTTTAAAGAAGTACATTAAAGTGCTATCTTAATTTATTTACTATACAGAAAAGAACAGAAGACCAATTCTTTACATTTTTTTGTTTTAAATACCAGTCTGGGTGTTTAGGTAGAAAATGATTTTTAAAGAACTTCAAAGCATAGAATTAAGTCACATGGATAATAAATTGTACACTGCTTAATGCACATGTTTCTCAGCTCGCCACCCAATCTCATCTTTGACCTTATAGGAAGAAGGAACAATGAGGATTGGGAAGGGTGGGGGAGGGTGTTCCACTTGTATTGTCTTATCAAGTCTTTATATATTGGTTAATTGTTGAACTCTGGAATGAGTTAATAGCTCTTGCCTTTCTGACCCCTAATGAAAGAGATGAACATTTATGAAGAATGAATTAGAATTTGCTAATTTTTATTCAGGAGATTCTCTTCCTGTGAAACTGCATCAAACACATTTGTGTGCTGTGAACAAGAATAGAGCGCTAGCCTCAGTGCAGCTGTTATATCAGAAGTATACTTAGATTTCTGTGGGGTGTAGAAACTGAGCCAAGTGTACTTATTTGGTTTTCAAGAGAATTCATAGACATTTTTATTTTATAAATGTAGCTTCAGTGCACATAAAGATCTTCTTGCTTGGTTTCAACTTGTATGGTAGAGGGCTCCTTGTTACTGACAGAAGCATTGGAGCCAAATTGGGAGTCAGTGAGGAGACAGGTCCAGTTGTTCATGGCAGGTGGGAACCTTATGATATAATAGGTCATGGGACAAATTATCTTGATTACCTGAGCATAAGATCTCTTTTCATAAGACTGTAACCATTTAAAATCATATATCTGTATACAAAACATCTAGTAAGAGCTATTTGGGACATATTTGGTTGATGTAATGTTATGTATTGAGCCTTTCCAATCAGAAAATGTTTAATTTGAAATATTAAGTAAAAGTGAAAACTTTTAAGTGAAAACTTTTTTTTAAATAAAGGTTATGGAAGATTTGTCATTTTCTACTATATTTTATTATTAAATTTGGAATTGCTTTTGAAGTGTCAGAGTAAATCAGACACGTGGTTTCTGGGAATGACATGCATGTCAGTATGTATCCTTACCTCCCCCCTTCTTACTAACAACTTGTTAGTGTATTATTTTTCATTCCTAATTCTTGTTCCTCTTAAGATGTGAACTTTTGTCTGTTCCATGCCTTACAAAAGGACTGCTGATGCATTTTATATGAATTGCTGTGATTATTAAGATTGGCTAGAAAACAAGAATTCTTGTTAAAAAAAAATGTTGAGCGTTCAAATTTTTTTACTTTTCTGAGAACACAAAAAGAGCCCTTTTCAAACTTGTGAAAAATCTCTTTCATACCCTTTCTCCTCTACTCCAAATAGTTCTGTTCTTATTCAAATATATGTCCTAAAAAAAATGTTTTAGATGTGACTTTTTTTCTTAGTTGTTTCTTTTCAAGATTTTGTTTTTGTTGTTACTTTTTAAACCCTAAAGTATTATCACTTTTCTCAGATAAACTTTCAAATATTAAGCATCTGGCTCATTTGGTTTGTTGCAGATCTATTCCAGTCGAGAACTTGAAGAAACGTTAAACAAAATCAGGGAAATTCTCTCAGATGACAAGCATGACTGGGATCAACGAACCATTGCAGTATGTTTTACATTCAGTTTGTTTATTTTTTATACCATTTTAAGAAAAAATATTTTGAAAGAGTTTTCTCAGACAATTCGAGCAGCTTTCATGCTAGATAGGCTGAAGAGGCTGAGTTGACCTATATTTTCTGTATGTGGAAGACCTCTTTTACATCCCAATTTGCATTTGACTGATCTTATGTGCAGCCCAGATATGTATACTTGCTTTGCAGCTAGAGATACTTGCACATGCACTTGGTAAATTTAGCACCTTTGTAACATTGAGAATTTGCACCAGCAACACTAAATTTTGTATGTATACAGGTTTCTAGATTAATGTGCATACAGATCTTTGCGTATATACAGCCACACATATGTATATAAAGATTGAGGTCTGAGAAACAAATAAAGCTACCATTTAAAAGTATACGATTTAAAGTTCTGATTTTAGCAGTGTTTCTTCTTTGTAGAGGAATGCCATTAATTTTTCATCTACATCCTCTATTACCTTTTGAAGTTAATATTGTTGGATTGGGGTAACTTGCATCTTCTGCAAGCTAAGCTACATTTTACGGTGAGGTTTAAAAAAAATTAGATTAATTTATCATTGAAACATAATTAGTGTGTGTAGTCAACACTTCAACTCTTAAAAAGCTAGATATATGCATGGACATGATGATGTAAATTATGTATATATTCACATCTAACTTTTTCTTTTGTTATAGCTTAAGAAAGTGCGGTCACTGCTTGTTGCTGGAGCTGCACAGTATGACGGCTTTTTCCAGCATTTACGATTGTTGGATGGTGCTTTTAAACTGTCAGCTAAGGATCTCAGATCGCAAGTTGTTAGAGAAGCGTGCATTACCGTAGCGTAAGTACAGCTTATGCATATTTATTTATTAAGTGGCTAGTTAGTTTAGTATTAAAAAAGCAGAATTTTACAGGGCACTGGAGATTATCTGTGTTTAACTGTTGTGCACGTTACTTGTTTGGGAGTGAAGTCATGTTCTAAAGCTGCAGACAATGCATGTTAGTTAAGGTTTAGTATATACATATTCCACAGCATTAAAGATATGTTTTATCCTGAGACAATAATCAGCTTGAAAAGTTTATGTATTAGGGCTTGGAAATATTTTTGTAAGCAAAATATTCTTTGTACAATTAGCCATTTACTTAAAACTCTTTTGAAAAGTTACATAAATGCATTGTGAACTAAGCATGGGACTATGCAAACACATATTAAAAAGGTATAACTCTTTACTTCAGAAATATTCATATTAGCTTGTAGTTTGAATTTCCTGTGGATAATAATAATGTCTATGCTTTATATTTGGATAATACTTTGACAAGAGTTCACAAAGTTACTAGTCTGCCAAAGAGACAAAAGCCGTTTAAGTTCAATTCTGTTTGTTTTCAGTATAGTCCCCCTTGTCTTCAGTGCACTTGGTCCAGCACATCTGCAGTTTGGTGATGCCTGCCTTGCCAAATCCTTGTTCAGCTAGTCCAGAACAACTTGACCTCTGTAGTCACCTCATCATCATTGAAACCCTTCACGTACAGTTTTTCTACAAGTTGGGGAGGAGTCCTGAAGGAGCCAAAACTAGTTATTAGGCTAGTTAGGGAAGCTGTTGAAAGCCATAATTGGTTGGTACAGTCATTGCAACTTACTGTTTGTGTGGTAATGCATTGTCCTGGAGAAGCAGTAGTAAGTCCTTGGCTCCGTGGTTCTTGTTTTTTGTTGGCTTCTTGCAAGCATAACCATTTACTAGCATAGTTCTCCTCATTTCTTATCTATTAATCAGTCACGATCACCTTTCTGCTATCCCAAAAAACTTGTGATTGATGTTTTACTGACCGATGCCTTCATCTTGAAATACTTGGTAGATGGAGACTGCGATTTGCTGTTTCTTTCAGGACCATCTTTCATCTTGAGTTGTCATCCTGCTCATGAATTCTTGGGTGTTTGGTTGAAGCTTTTCCCCTTTCCCCCATGTGCAAATGTCAGGTTGCTCAATATTTTGGGCACTTACCTTGCTGGAACCTTTTTATAGCTTAGCCATCAATGAAGATAGCCCAATCCAGTGCTGATGTCCCCTCTCTCAGCTATATGCTTCATTGTTAATCTTCTGTCCCTCATTACCATCTCCTGGATTGTATCAACTTATTTTCATGGGTAACCTCTGTGAGTTACCCTTACTCGGCTTATTTTTTAGTTTTTATTCTCGTTTATTTAAATTCAAATGCCCAGGTTTTTTTATTTTTATTATTTTGACATGTCAAGAGGTATCATTCCCCAGTATTACTTTCATGTCCTCATGCATTTCATTTGGAGTTTTCTTTGTTACAGAGGTACTCGATCAGTCAGATTTCATTCTTAATTTTTTTTATATTATCAGTGGCTGACTCACTTTGACATGTCCTTATACAAGTTCTGCATAAATTAAAGAAACAGTGTTTGTTAACAAAGAAACATTTGAAATACTGACCTTAGCATACCATTAAATAGTACAGTATGTCATTGAAAAGATCTGGCTTTCGGATTTCCCCTCATGTCAAAATGCTTTGATTAACAGATGAAAGTTTGAGTGATTTTCATCTGTTGAGTTATCACTTAACTTTGGAGAAACATTTTATTAGTTTCTGTACAGGAGAGAACTGTAATAAAAATGTTCACAAAATTTAGTCATTCTTGGAAGAATAAGTCTGCCATCATTTGAATTACACATTGTAATTCTCTTGATAACCGAAGTGTTGATCTACAGCTCAATTTTAACACAAACTTCAGTAACTTCTATTTGCTTATAAACCTAGAGTCCAACCCTGAAAGCTTTTACTGCTTAGTGCTTGGCACGTGATTTCAGCTTAACTACTAATTTTGTTCTGTAACACTATCAGAAACTAAGACTTAAATTTTGTCAGCTTAGCCTAGACTGATGCTTTTCTTAAAGATAGAAATGAAATGAGGAATTTAATCGCATCACACTTCAGCGATCAAATGTTTTGTTTGTGGTAGTCCTGAAAGATGCAGAAAGAGAAATAGAGTTTTTTCCTATTGGAAACTTTAAAAATAATCCAGACTTCTGCCAGAAAATAGAGTGTCTTTCTCCCTGTCCATAATCTCATTTTCTTTCTCTTCCTATTTTAATCTTTTGCTTAGTATGCAATTTGCATATGCTCTTCATTGGTGAAATCCCTGCTCCAAACCATGGAGAGTTAAATTGCAATGAGTATGGAAATTATTACATTCTCTGCACTGATGGTCAGAATCATGAATAAATAATTGAGTGGGGAAGAGATTGTAGTTGTCATGCAGGATAAGCATTAAATTATATTTAGATTTAAATTTTAATAATACGTTTAAATGTCATTGAGTTTATACTATCATGGAAGACTAATAGTCAAAAATACAATGGTGTGATCTAAATAACAGGATGCAAACTTCTGTTTTTTCAACATGGCAATTTTAAATAGAATTTCATATAAAATAAGGCTTACAGGGAAAATTAGCTATGAGCATTTAATTATCAATTTGCCTGTAGGGTGAACATGGGTATCATTGAATTCTATCAGTCTTTTCTGCTTAAGAAGCTATTTACGTATTTGAAAATCAAAAAATTATGTACTATAACAGCCGTCCTTTTGATTGATTCAGCTTTAATATGTAATTAAATTTAAATTTCTTTTTAGGGTATGAAGCTTTTATTAACCACTTCTATTTAATTTTCTAAATAGCCATCTTTCAACAGTTTTGGGAAACAAGTTTGACCATGGCGCTGAAGCCATTGTGCCTACTCTTTTTAATCTGGTCCCCAACAGCGCCAAAGTCATGGCAACTTCTGGGTGTGCAGCAATCAGATTCATTATTCGTGTAAGTATTCATCTATAATGGTATTTTTTTTGGATAGTCTTGATAAAAATAACTTTAGTTAGTTGGTTTTAGAAAAGATGTCGTCTTAGTTTTTCCATTTATAAACCAGATTTTTGTGCTCTTCTGTTTCTTTCTTTCTTTCTTTCTGTTTACTTAAAGACTAAAATGTTAGTTCATTCCTAGGCAAATCACTTTTGACAGGAGGTCAAAAATGTTGTGTTATCAGTTATCACCACCATCATTATTACTGTGGTAAAAGATTGGCAAGGAAGTATAAGAGGAGAAGGTAGATTTTTTTTGCTGATGACTTTAAGGGCTTTGGTACTTTTTTTAAGAATGGTAAATCGTGGATATATTTGTAATCAGAGTAATAATAAAGATTTTTTTTTGGCCTGTGCTGTAAATGTAAAAAACTGACCCTTGCTATCCATTAAGAAAATAACTTGTACTTTCTGTTTTAAGTTACAATTTTATCCACATAAACCCATTTGCAGGGTACCCCCAGTACCCCAAGTTTCTCCCTGCTGTACTGCTTCTTATCCCAAGAAAAAGACCAAGGTTGCTTTGGGATAACTCCTTTTCTTCAGAAGCTTCAGCTCCTTTGCCCTTAATACTGAAGCTGCCAACTCCAGGTGGCCTCCCCTTTGGGTTATGGAAGAAGTTTTAAGCTCCCCTCCCTACCCTTTCCATCGAAAAGGCTAGCCTGGAATATCACTTGCCCTAAATCTGCTCTTTCCACAGCGAAGCAGTAAGGAGACAAAACAGCAAAAAAACAAAACTGACAATAGGTTAGAAGATATTAAGAAAAAGATAAGTTTCCTACCCTCTTATCTGGCTACACCAGGGGTGGGCAAAATACAGCCCGCAAGGCCATTCTATCCGGCCTGCGGGGCCCCTAAAAAATTTAGAAAATTAATATTGATCTGTCATTGGTTCCTGTCAAAAATGACAGGAACCAAGGGCAGTAGGACCCAGAGGAAGCCCAGTGGACTGCCACGACAGCAGGGGCCCCCCAGCCCTGCCCCGCGTGTGCCCCCCCAACCCCCTGCTGGAAGCCCCAGTAGGGGCTTCTGGCCTGGGAGCATGTGGCTGCGCCGGCAGCGCCAGAACCTCAGGTAAGGGCGAGGGGTGGGGGGAAGGGCAGGGGAGGACCCCAGGCCGGGAAGGAGCTAGCAGGCAGCCCATGTGGGCTGCAAACACCTGCATCAGGGAGCGCCGGCCACGGGGCAGGTGAGGGGCCGCTTTTCCCTACGTTCAGCACCAGCTTCTTCCCTGCCAGTGAGCAAGGGGTTGGGGCTATGCGTTGCCCCCCGCCTGTACCGCAGGCCTGGGGACACTGGGTGTGAGTAGGTGCAGGAGCCAGCGGGAGCACAGGGCCTGCACCGGTGTCCTGGGGCCAGCACTGGTGGGGCCCAGAGCAGGGTGGCAGGAGCACGGGATCTCGGCCAGCAGGGGTTCTATGGAGCTGGGCCAGCTTCCCCTCTCCCTGCTGGTGCAGTCCAGCCCGGCTCCACAGACCCTTGCCAGCCTGTGCCCCGCTTTGGGGCCCACCAGTGCTGGCCCTGGGACATTGGTCCCAAGATGGTGACCAGGGGGCGGGGCACCTGTCAAGGGGCAGGGCTACCCATGTGGCCCTTGACAGTCTGCCAGAACTGGGTAAGTGGCCCTCTGCCCAAAATAGTTGCCTGCCCCTGGGCTACACCCTAGAACTTCTGCGAGCCTTGCACATGTTTTTAGAGATTAGCCTTCTTGCTGGTTCTACCAGCCCTGGCTGGTGGGGCCTTGGACCCATCTGCAGTTTGGAAAAAATGATATCCTAAAATGATATCTTAAAAAACCTGTAAGTCAGCCCCCTTATTATCATTATACTAATTATTCAGGAGTCACTAAAATCCTTCAGCAATTTTTGGGGATCCTGAAACACCTGGCATTCTTCTGGCTGTGATAAGCCATTTGTCTCAGGTGCCTTTCTATAGAGCAGTGGTTTTCATGTTGTGGTCCGAACACCCCTGGGTGTCTGCAGACTGTGTCTAAGGGGCCTGTAAAAGATGATTATGATCAGTCAAAAGTATGTGAATACCCACATTTACAATGCAAAGGGGTCTGCACCTTCGTTTTAGGGGTTTGCAAGTGAAAAAAGGTTGAAAATCTCTACTATAGAGGAGTTGATTTCTCCGATACAGGCAGACAGTGGATAGGTGCTAAGTATCTCATTTGATTATCTTCCAGTTACATCCTAAAAGTATAAAAGACTGTAATACATACAGATAAGAAAATGGCCAAACCGAACACAGCTTCATGCTACAAATAGAGACCAAACACCACAGGGATAAATTTGATTTGGGGTAATATCTATGCATGCTGCACGTGGAACCATAAAGGCAAGTTGGTTTTGGGGCAAATCTATGATACAGCTATGGCTGTAATTTTTTTTTAAGTGTTAGAAATCCTTTGACATGCGTTTCTACCAATGAACCGAAAAATAGGACTTTTTGCAGTCTGTACCTCATTTAGAAACGGGAGAAAGGGTTTAAAACAAGGACAGTCCTGACTAATGGCCACCCTATGTCCATCCCATCTGCAGGATTTCTGTCTTCTGTGGAGCCTGTTGCTCTGCCATGTCTGCACTTCTTGATGCAGTGGAGATGGAGATCAGCAGCAAGGGTCAATGCAAGCAGCTGTGTGTCCTGAGTGTGGGGGGAGAGAGAGTAGGTGGAGACTTGCAGCCTGTGGCAGAGTACTGGATCACAAAGCATGGCCTGTGCCAGAAAAAGATTGCCAACTCCTGAATTATTGAATTGAATTGGAAACTGTTAGAGGCAGGTCATGAAAAGGGGCCAGCTGTATGAGAGAGCTTTTTTAGCAGCAGGGAGATGTGATTCAGCTCTGGTATTTGAGCACTGCCTCCAGTGATTAGGATTACTACTTGTGAAGAAGCACATGATGGGTGCAACTTTCAAGTTGAAGAAGGGCAGTCTTGGAAGTGATTAAAACATGTTTAAGTCCTAAGCTAACATCCCATGGGTTTTTCTTATTAAAAAAATTCTAATTACATTTCAGACTTTTTCTGTGAAGTGTTTTTCAGAGGTTTGTTATAGTGTACATAACTTCAGACATCCAATAGTAGAAAATAAGGACTGCTATTTAAAAACACTGCTTCATCTTCTGTAGTCTCTCATTACTACATGCTTTATGAATTGATCAAATTACATATATAAAAAATTATGGAAAACACTACAAATTATAATAGTATTGAGAGAGAGAGAATTTTTAATTGTCAGTGTTAATAAATTACAAATAAAACGAGTCAGTTGTCTTTGTTTATTTCTTTTTAACGCTGCGAGTAGGCAGTGCGCTGAAAACTGATTGGAACCCTGCTGCTTCAGTTGTTTTGCATGTTCATGCTACAGTGGCAAGCTGTGGAGAAAAGGGTGCACAGAATACTCTGGGCTTGCTAATCATGCAGTTAAAGCCCCCAACATCTTTATTATTTACAGCAACTTGCTTGTTATGCTCTGTTTCCTAATTTTCAATTGGGAACTGCCTTAGGGCTTTTTTTGGACACTATCAGAAAAGTCAATGCAAATTAACTAACGGTGTGAATTTTAAAGTTTATCATTTTAACCACATTAATTCTGAGTAAGAATATGCAAATAGTGACTTAAAGCAACCTTAATTCACTTCCAAAATGAACTGAATTATGGTCACTTTGATCCCGAATAATTGTCTATGCAAGGTTTTATTGTCGGCTTACTAATCCACTTTAAAGGTTAATTCAGACTTATTTTCTTGTTCCCGTGAATAGAAACAGGAAGTTCCGTAGATTCTTTCAAACTGGTTTCATAAGTTAATTTCCTTTTACCTGAGGAATTGCTTTTGTTTCTTCGTGTGTGTGTTTGTGTTTTGTTTTTCTTCTTATATACTTGTATTCATTTGTATTTCTTCACTTGTTTTCTTGGCAACAAGATGAATTTACTCTTTTAATAGCAACTATCTATTGTGATAGTTGTAAAATGATTTTCAGTGTTCCACAATTCCCTTCATCTGCTTTTCTGCTCTAATGTTAAATTTATATGCCTAAATTCTGTTTCATTTATTGTGGTGAGTGGTATACATCTGAAATGTAACTGAAACATCGATGTGGGATTCCTGATAGAAAATGTATGATGTGCTTGGGCCTTCAGAGGTTAATTTTGTTTAGCCAGTGTTGTGTATGATCACAAGGTTGTGGTATTGATTTTCAGTAGCTTTTTATATCTTAATTAAAAGTCCATTTTTTACCCATATGTTAAAAATTATTAGCCTGTTTCATGTTAGATTCAGGGTTTTTTTTAAAGTTATTTACTATAATTGAGCTAATTAACACAAGATAGTTCATGCATGTGTTTGGCATTGACTGACTTGCATAAAGCTTTTCTTTTGTTGTTTTTCCAGCATACCCATGTGCCTAGACTCATACCTTTAATAACAAGTAACTGCACTTCAAAATCAGTTGCTGTTAGAAGGTGAGTGTTTTATAAACAGCAGCCTTACTAAAACAGTTCGTTTGTATGTTTTTTAATTATGCCAGTAGAGCAGAGGTGGGCAGTTATTTCACTTGGAAGGCCACTTAATGACTTTTGGTGAGTTATTGAGGGCCTCATGCATAAAATCTTTCAGAAGATATCATTTAAAGAAATTATAGATGATAAACAAATCATATACTAAAGAGTAATCTACTGTATTTTAATTTTAAAGATCAGGACAAAAATATTCTTTGAAATTTGTTTTTTGAGTTGTGGATATGGAGTGATTACATAATAGCCTAGAATAAAGTCTTACTCTTGTATATTGTGTGAAGGGGTTAGGGTATGTGTGTGAGGGATGCAAGTGTGTTGGGAGGGGGGGATGACCACATACTAGGTCCTGGGACTTGGCTGTCGGGGTGAGATACAGGGTGGTGCATACAGCATAGCTTGCTGGGGCAGTACAGTGCAGGTGCATTCCACCATGAGGCCCACCCCCCCACCGCAATTCTGGCCCATGGCTGTTCCTGTGGTGCCCCATGTGGGGCTGAGCCCTGCCTGCTCCTGCCTAGGGCATCCCATGTTGTCCTTCTGCCTGCGCCCACCAACAGCCCCAGCCAGCACACAACTTCCAGGTAGAACTGGTGCTGCAGCCCCCAGGTACTGCTTGGCTCCCCCTGCCTCCAGCAGCTCCTCCTGCCACTTCAGGTGGGAGTGAAGCTGCAGCTGGGCAGCTCCTGCCCCAGTGCTTGGGGCTTCAACTCCCATCTGTCTGCAGGTAGCTGCTCATCATGCCAGATGGGCAAAGTGGGTGGAAGGCATCCAGGAGCTGGAGTCAGAGCCCTGCGTACTGGTCAGGAGGAGGAAGAGCTGCTGGAGACAAGGGGAGCCAACCAGTACCCAGGCAGCTGCAGTAGGGGCAGTCCTGCCAGGAAGCTATGTGCACTAGCTGGGGCTAGGGCTGTGCTGTTGGCAGGCACAGGACAGGTCTGGCTGGGAGCATGGCTTAGGCTGCCTTGGGCAGGAGCAGGTGCAGCTTAGCCCCATGTGGAGTGCCACTGGGGCAGCCTTAGGCTGGATAGAATCTATTGGCAGGCTGGATCTGGCCCACAGGCCATACTTTGCCCACCCCTCTAGTAAATTATTAAAAATGACTTTTAGATATGTGAAAAATCTTTAACTTGTGGACCAGCGTGAACCACAAAAACCCCTGGCTTCAGTAGGCTAAGCCAGTCATCCTCAGAATTGGAGTTGTCATTAAAATATAAAGGAAGCAAATTTGCCAGTAAATGTGATCTTCCATATGCAATCCAGAAGGGAAAATGCAGTGTTTGAGACTGGAGGTGGGGAAGAATCTACAAGGGTCCCATGGTTTCTCCCATAATCTTTGCCAAGCAAAAGTAAGCTAAAATTAATGATACTCTGAGCAGTTTTTGTTTCTTTATTTCAGAACACACTGAAGTAGTGAAAATTTGTGTAACTTTTGTGTCGTGTACCACTGCTTTCACAAAGTTATGCATAGGAGCAGAGAAGTTATTTATGGGGGAGGAGCCAGCTCTAAATCATAAAAAGTTTTCCTCCTCAGTTTTACAGCAATTCGGAGTATTTGAGTGAATGCGGTAATGAAATGTGCCCTTCAGGAGCTGATAAGAGGCCATGAAGGGGACACTAAAATGTGTCTTGGGTGTTTTGGGCGTTAGATTCTCAAGTTTTTTTTAGAAACCAGCTACCTGCAGACTGTTACAAAAGGTGATTTCCAAGACAGGGTTTACTGTCTCTTAAGGGAGTGGAGGCCAGTGTTTTTGCTAGGCATGCAACAAATTAGCCCAGCACTCTCCCCAAGTGCCACTCTGAATCCCTTTTCCTGGCTGATCTAGTGCACTGACTTCTGCTCCCTGCCCTATCTGCCACTGTGCTGGTTGCCCATGGCACATGTGCTGCAAGTTGGCCACCCCTGTCTTAGGGTATGGAGAGGCATTCATTTGAAGTGCCAAGGATCTGAAGGGAATTTGCAGTGCTACAAAATGTGGCATGCCATGTGCATATACCGGTGCAAATATCCTGTTTTCTGGAGTGCCCCAGAATATGGCGTGAGCATGTACCCCTAGTGCTCTGCAGCCAGGGGGCTTATATTTTCATTTATAGGACAGAGTGAGTAATGACAAATAAAAGTACAAACATGGAAAACAAGATTTATGGAACTAAGGTCTAGCAGTTACTTAGGGTTATTATAGGCCCATCTTGACCAGTTAAATATGTCAAGATCCTGACTCAGAGATGCTCAGTCAGGATGCTGTGGCACTCTAGGTGTCCATGAGATGCTTCTAAGGGTGACCAAAGCTGTCCATGCACTATTAACACCGTTAGATGTGCAAACACCTATACGTGATTCACAAAATAATCCCAAAGTTTTCGAATAGGAATCCAGAGTTTCAAAAGCATCCTGACCTGTTGTGGTCTTTTCAGAGGTCCTTGTGACAGAAGGCTTGCTCAGTTATTTTCTGTAGTCAAAAACTGAGTTAAAGTTAAGAGCTGGTATTTTCTGAGTACCCTGGGTCAAAAAAGGCTTGGAAACATGGATATATACACATTAAAAGTGTATAAACTATTTATATAGTAATAATTTATGCATGTTTATTCAAATTGGATTTATGTAATTTTGAAAAATTGTTTGTTTATACAGTTTGCAAATTATATTTTCCTGTTCCATGTTATATGGTAAACATATTAAAATAGATGCATTTGATGTCATTAGTTGAACAGCAGGCAATCAGATTAAACCTTTTAAACTTTTAAAATGCAGTGTGATTTGTTACTTTGTGTGTTCAGTTTGTATTTTACCATTTGTATACAAGTTTAGTAACATTACCCTATTTACTCAAACCCAACACGAGGTTTTTCCCCATTCAGCATGGGGGGAAAAAAGCCCCTCTTACTGGATTTCAGGTCAGGACCAGAGTCAGACTAATAGCAGCCATCTCCCCCACACCCATGGTCTGGCGCAACTCTAGCTCCAGCTCTCATGGGGCACAGACTGCATTGAAACTGCAGCGCACCTCAAGTCCTGTGATACTGCTGTGTGGCTGGGTAGAGGCCATGCTTCCATGTGACCCCGGAGGGTATGGAGCCACAGCTGTTTGACAGTAAGGCGGGGAAGGGGCAGAGACTGCAGAGAGTGGTGGTGATGGGGGTGAGCAGGCTGCAGGAAGTTTTGAGGAACAGAAGACAAAGGGAATTGCACACCCCACCCCCAGCCACCTGCCCACTCCCCTGCACTACTTTTCCCACTGCAGTAGTGGAGGGGACAAATTCAAGATGACCCTCCATTAGTTAGATTCTGTGCCTGGAAAATTGTAACAAATTTATAATTTTTCCATTTATAGAACCTGATTATTGGGGGGGGTCATCTTAGATTCAGGTAAGTATGGTATATTAGAAAATTGTTTAGCTAAGTATTCTGTATTACATGTAATTATTTATTATTACATATGTTTATTTACCCACAGGGAGAAGAAGATGGTTATTATTTCAGCCCAGTAGAGCATTATTGTGTTTTGACCTTTTTTTCTTTTGCTTTTTCTCTCAGGCGCTCTTTTGAATTTTTAGACCTGTTATTGCAAGAGTGGCAAACACATTCTTTGGAAAGGTACGGGCACAGAGCATGCATGTTCCTCATCTGTGAAACTTGTTAATAAATTTGAAAACAAGAATCTTTATTTTGAGTTCTGTAGTTAGAACAGATGGCCAAAGTCTGAAATAAGAGTTATGCAGAGTGTGGTAGCAGTATTTAGGCCATCGCCACAATTAACAATCTGTTAAAATTATAAACTGTCTTTTTTTTTTTTTTTTAATGCTGTTTAAACATGCATTTTAAACACGCATTGGAATTTAGAATGTTGTATATGAGTTAACAGGTTTGCTTTATGGGTAAAAACTATCTTAAATTGTGTTGTTTCTCTTATCAGTCATGTTATGCAAAACAAATTATTATTTTAAATAATTATCTTTAAAAGATAAACAGGTATTTTATAAGAATTTAGTAGATGGACCTGGATCTGTTTGTCTGAAAAATAATGCAATGATAGGTATATTCATAGTGGGAAAGGAAGGAGTGAAAAAGTGGAAGCATACAGGCTTTCATTCCTGCATGACCCTAGACAAGATCTTTTCCCAGATTCAGCATATTTCCTGCTGGAGAAACTGCAGGAGCACCTGTACTCTCCTCATCTCTAGCAGGAGAAAAAGGCACTTCTGTCACTAGAAATGTAATGCATGTCCATGTCCTCAATAATGCACAATCAGAGAAGAAAAGACTACATCCCAGTTACCTCAATCACTTTTAACCTGTGGCCTGTGGACCCCTAGAGGTCTGTAGGCTGTGTGAGGGGTCCACGAAAGATGACTCTGATCAATCAGAAGTATATGAGTACCCTCACTTGCAATTCAAAGGGGTCCAGCCTCCATTCGAAATTTCCAAAGTGATCCACAAATGAAAAAGGGTTGAAAACTGCTGATAAGTAGATACTAGTTTGTGATTTTTTTTTTTGCCATCGCCAGTATTTTATTATGTATTAGTGTTGATAATGATCAATGCACTTTGTTTACATGGTTTTAGGATTGGGTTTAAAACCTCTTTAGATATGTATTGACATGGCACATTGTTATCGGAATGTCACAATTATTAATATATTTATTCCTTTCCTTCCCTTCTGAAACGGGAATTCCCATTTGTCACGGTGTATAAGTCAACACAGTGTATAAGTCGACCCCAACCTTTGATTTAAAAAGTTAGGGTTTTTTATATATTCAGTGTATTGAGTCAGCCCACATTTTATAATGATCCACTTGTCAAATATTCCAAATGAGTAATTTGTTCACTGTATGGATCCTTGACATTGGAAGTTTCTGCATCTTCATCCTTGCTTTTGATCTTTGTCGCAAAAAAAAAGATTGGGCTCTGCTGGCAGGCTCCAGGGAAGTTGGATCAGGCCCCTGGGAGCTCGGGCACCACTCATCCCACTGGCAGCCCCCTGCCTGGGCCTGGGAGACGCCACAAACATGGAGGGAAGGACTGCCCCCTCCTGCAGCTCAGGGGCTATGCAGCCCGCTGTGGGGGTGGGGAGCGGGCAGGCTCCACTGAAAGCAGGATTGGGCCCCTCGCCACTTCTTCCTTCAGCAGCCTGCTGTGGCTGGCAAGAAGCCTGGTTCTGCCCAGGAAAGGGCTGCTTCACACCATGGGCGGAGCTGGGAGGGAGGCAGGGGTGAGCTGCCAGCGGGCTAGGCAGTGATCCGGGTGCTGCCCAAGCTCCCAGGAGCCTGATCCAACTTCCCTAGAGCCCAGATATGGTGTATAAATCAAGGTGGAAATTTAAGGGTAAATTTGGGGGGTTCAAACCTTGACTTATGCATTGTGAGATATGGTATAGAAAATGTTTGTAGGGAATTAAACCCAGTGTCCTTAATCCCAGCCAAGTACCTTAAATGTAATATCATTTTTTCCTAATCTTGTAAGGATATTTTGCAGGCAATGACAATTCTTTGTTTCTCGCTACTCTGTTGTGTGTTGAGTAAATAATCATTATCAGGCCATTGGTATATGTTTTTGTTTGTGACCTGGTTGATCCCCAAATTTATTTTTTTAGGATCAAATCAGGCAATTTGACTGTATCCCAAAATACAGGGAAGTCTGTCTTCTATCATTCTTTGGCATAGCAAAAGTTTTGCCATGTCTAATGTGTTTTAAAATTAAAGGTTTTTTTCTAAGATGCTGTACCTGTTTATACCAATAAACTCTAATTTTACAGATTAGACAGATTTCACTTTGTGAATAAGAAATAACTAGCACCTGATACAGCCTGAGAGAGCCTCTAGGCTGCCAGATGGCTTGGAGAAACTTTAATTAACAGGTTAAAAGTTATCTATTTTTTAGCTAAATATGTAGCAGTAAAAGGTAATATGAGGACTGTTTGTCTTCTAGGCATGCAGCTGTCTTGGTTGAAACGATCAAGAAGGGAATCCATGATGCTGATGCTGAGGCACGAGTGGAGGCAAGAAAGTAAGTTTTGACTCGGCTTTTAACTTCGATTGAAAGCATAGGTATTTTGATGTAATGGAGAGATTTAGTTACTGTAATGTTCTTGAAGTATTCAGCTGTTAATCACTGGGTTAAAATTTGATTAGTTGATTATTTTAATGACCTTGAATGAGTGTGTTTCTCCATTTCAAAGTTTCCTACCCACTTTAATAAAACATAGGAAGAGAGTTGTTTTTAGAATCTAAGGACCTTAACAAATTTGAGTAATGCAGGTTAGTATTGCTATTGAATTGTTCCTCCTACTTGATTAGTAGAATCATTGAACAATTAACATTCTCTTTGTGAACAAGTATGCCAGAAAGTTATTCATCTTCCTCTCCCATACTTGTGGGGGTTTTTTATGGACAACAAGACCTATATCAGCAAGAGTATGTAAAGAATTTCTCAGAGTGGACATGGGTAGATAAAATGATTTTGAAAAAATGAGTTCAGGCTTGTGCTGAATGCCTCTACAACCTGGATAGCAAATATATTTAGAGAGCATATACTTACCCTGATTTTTTTCCCTTTTTGTTGCATTACCTACTTGTCCTCTTTTCTCCTGCCTCCTCTCTTATTAGTCATAACTGCATAACAATTATACCTATTGTTTCTTTTGCTTTCAGAGCTTATCTAGGTCTTAGAAATCACTTCCCTAGTGAAGCAGAAGCTCTGTACAATTCCCTTGAGCCATCCTATCAGAGAAGTCTACAGACTTACTTGAAGAATTCTGGCAGCATAGCATCTCTTCCTCAATCAGACAGGTCATCCTCCAGCTCACAGGAGAGCCTCAAGTAAGGGTCACTTAAGTGATCATCAGCCTGAAAAGGCAACATTTTTGCTTTGTTGCTTGTTTATGTGCAGTTCACATGTTCACTCAGGTTTAATGATGAACTTTTCTATTATATACCAGTTTTCTGTTTCTGTGTAGTAATTCTGTTGGTTAAAATGAAGTTAATATTGACCCTTTGCAGTTAGCATGGCACAGTAGAAGCTAAAGGCAGAAGTTAATTGTAGTTTAGCACTTTGCTCGTGAATAATTTCTGAATATGTGCACTGTATTACATTGAAGGATCATTGAAGTTAGCAAGCCAAACAATCATTTTCACAGTAAAGCAGTAAGTGTATCACTTACCTAAGATATGGAACAATGAAAACATATTAAGAAAGAGACTAAGTGCTACTTCCTTCCATTTGGTTTAAGACAGATTGTGAAACATGCAAAAGTGTGGCATTGCCGTGATACATCAGGCAGTGCTTAGATCGGGGGTGGGCAATTATTTCGGGTGGAGGGCTGCTTACCGAGTTTTGGCAAGTCATCAAGGGCCGCATGACAGGCAGCCAGGGGCAGATAAATATTAATTTTCTACATTTTTTAGGGGCCCGACAGGCTGGATAGAATGGCCTGGCAAGCCACATCCAGCCCACGGGCCACATTTTGCCCACCCCTGACTCTAGATGCTTCAGAATAAGTACAAAAACTCTCCGAATTCTGTGGGCATTTCTGCTCAACACAGAAAGATAGCTAAATTAAAGCTAGCTAAGTTACCAATAACAGTGTATCCACACTGACATAAAGTCCATTGCAAGCTAATGTCCTGTGTATGCAGGATCTCAACAGGCTTGTACAGCCTTGTATATTTTCTGTTGTATGCACTCCTATTGGTGCCTGAGTCCTTGAATACACATTCAGAGCCCCCTGCCTAGAGCATTAGTCACCACCCCAGATCAGGCTGTCAGTGATTAGCTGGCAGTTGCTACTTTAATCTGCTGCTCTCAGCAGCAGCTTTTTGGGCAGACCTCGCAACAGAGGCAGCTCTCTGACACCTGTGGGGGCAGCTTCACCAGTCTCTGCTGCTCTGATGGGAGCAGCAAGGCCCCCAGCACAGCTGCTGCTCTCACAGGGAGCAGGAGGGTGGGAGAGCTGAGGACTTTGGGATGCTGGGGCACCAAGAGACATAGCATTACAGACAAGTTCCTGTTTGAAACAGGGGCGTAGAATGTAGCTGTGTTGGTCTAAGGCAGGGATGGGCAAAATACGGCCCACAGGCCAGATCTGGCCCGCGAAGCCATTCTATCTGGCCCGCGAAGCCCCCCAAAAATGTAGAAAATTAATGTTTCTCTGCCCTTGGTTCCTGTCAAAAATGTTCCTCCAACAACAGCAGGGCCTGCCCGGCCCGGGCGCCGCCGCCGCCCCCCCCCCCCCCCCCCCACCCACCCTGACAACCACCA